AAGCTGGAATGTTTGGGGACACCGAAAGGAGTGTGCAGTGGTTCTGTCATGGGTAGGGGCGGAGCCTGAGATGAACCCGGAAGAGAAAGTAAATCACACAGGGTTTGAGCACTGAGATACAGGACTTACCCTCCAGGAAAGAGTAAATCGGATTGACTTTTAAGAATAATTTCATTGCACTCCTCTGAATCTTACTTGCGTGTTCAGGGGCACACGCGCACGTGTGTGTGTGTGTGTGTGTGTGTGTGTGTGTGTGTGTAAAGATGTGAGCTTCTTAACCTGTCAGCAATCAAGTAGTCTAAGCATATCCTCTTCCCAGTGAAGCCATTCCTGCGTCCATCAGACGACTTCCGTGGGACCTGGTGTCACTTTCATTGGAGCATTCTGTTTCCTGTGTCTCCGGCTGGTTCTTCCTGGTTTACCCAGTAACTTTATGGAAAAAAAAAAACTGCATTGAGTATGATTTTTTTTTTAAATTACCTTAGGGACTGAGAGGTAGGTGAGTGGTTAAGAGTATCTGTTAGGGACTGAGAGGTAGGTGAGTGGTTAAGAGTATCTGTTGCTCTCGCAGAGGACCCTGGCCCGGTTTTCTGCACCCACACAGTGGCTCACAACTTACAAACACAGGTGTCAGGGGAATCAAGCACCCTTTTGGCCTCTGCAGGCACCAGGCATGTACATGGTACACAGACCTGCCTGCCAGCAAAACAGCCACGTGCATCACATACAAATAATAATAAAAATAGATAAAATTGTCTTCACTCTAAAATATGGTTGATAGTTTGTACGTCTATGCAACTAGGTTGGCAATGATTTTTTCTTTTAAAATATAAACCTTATGTCCAATTCCTTCTGTGTTTGTTTATTGAGAGAGAGGAAGAACAAGAGCAAGAGAAAGAGGCTCTCTCTCTCCCTCTCTCTCTCTCCCCCTCTTTTCCCCTTTCTCTCTCTCTCTCTCTCTCTCTCTCTCTCTCTCTCTCTCTCCCCCTTTCTCTCTCTCTCTCTCTCCCTGTGTGTGTGTGTGTGATGTAGATGTATCATTTCTTTCTGCTACTCTTACATTCTTTCTGACCCCTCTTCTACAGTGTTCTCTGAGCCTTAAAATATGCAGTGTAAATGCCTATCCTGTGAATTTCTCCAATGTCTTTTTACCCCCTTAAAATAATGACTCCTACTTACACTAACTCTTATTATACTTCTTGCGTTCTTGCATACATTTAAATTAGCTCTAATCTTAATAATCATAAATTAAGCCCCCACTCTGTACCTGGGGAAACTGAAACATAGATTGCTTGGTTGGTTTAACTGAAGTCCTGAGGGAAGAGCCAGACCAAGACCAAGCCAACCAGGCCCTTAGATCCTTATATATTGTTTTTTTTTTAAACAAAATATTGATTTTTATTTAGGTTAAAAACGATCTTATTTTACATACCAATCCCAGTTCCCTCTTTCTTCCATCCTCCAATTCCCACCACCACCTCCCCATCCCATCCCTGATCCACTCCTTAGAGAAGATAAGGCCTCCCATGGAGGATCATGATTCTTATATATTGTATGCTGGTTCGGACTTAAGTGAGAAGAACAGGGAATTAATGATGGCAGGTGTGGCTGTGTTGCAGTGATGTTTGTTTACACAGACAGCAGCCTGTATCAGACTCATAGGCCACAGTTTTTCACCTTCCATCTTACCTTCCCCAAGCCGGAACATCTAGTAGACATTACCATCGTTTTCTGATAAAGCTCATGAAGGATAAACCACTTCTCATTGCCCTTTCTAGCCTCGAGCTTCGGGAAAACAATCACCTAATGTTGGTCACCTCACTAACTAAAACCTCAAGGGAACTGGGATTAGGAAAATCACCTTAGTTTCCCTCAAAGTGAAGGGTGCTGCTGACAAGATATAATCAGAAATTCTTACATCCAAAATCTATACAATCTGGGGGGGGGGTGGCGCTCAGTGGTTAAGACCATGTTTATACATATGGCCCAGGTTTGGTTCATAGCACCTGCATGTCAGCTTGCAGCTGCCTGTAATTTCAGGTCCAGGAGATCAGATGCCTCTTCTGACATACAAGGGCTCCTCTACACATGTGGTGCACACACACACACACACACACACTGTAAAGAATCTATGCAGTTTTTGTATATCATTCAAGAAGGTAGAAGCAAAGCTAACTGGGCAGTGTCTGGTGTTTGCTCTTGAGCCTCGAAGCTTTCGTTTTGGATTGTCACCGTGTTACTGTGACAAACCGGAAAGAAGAAGGAAGAGGCTCTGGGGACTTGAGGCTTGACTATGGTCAGGGGCAGGAGGAGACTGAAGACGACCTTCCTGAGTCCTGACGGTGCCTCCTAAGCAACCAAGCAAGCAAGTTTGGGAATGCTTGTTTTGTATTGAGATATTTATATCACAAAATAATCATAATACTTTTTTATTACGAGCATATCCTAAGTCATAACTTCAGTCATAATTCAGAAGCAGCTTATATATGTAATTACTATGATACTGCCCCACACCTTTGAGACAGAGTCTGACTGTACAGTTATGACTGGTCCAGAATATAGCTTGAAGACCAAGCTGACCTTGAGCTCACAGAGATGCTCCTGCTTTTGCCTCCTAAGTGCTGAACTTGAAGGCAAGCACACTATGCCCAGCCCCAAATCCCTTTTTATTAAAAATAACTTCTCATGTAACAATGCTCTAGTTTGACTCTAGAGTGTTTCCACAGACCTATATGTTATAGGTTTGATCCTCATTTGGGGCACTTAGGAGACTGCTGGACTTTCTCCCTTGCTTACTTCCATGAGAGATAGCACCCTCTCCATCAAATATCTCTGCAGTGATGCAGTCTTCTGCTACAGGCTCCAATCAGTGGGCCCAAATGGCAATGGATGGAAGCCCCTAAAACATGAGACAAAACAAGTCCTTTCTTCTTTAACATGAAATATCTCGAGTATTTTGTCATGGGTATACAAAGTTGATCGATACAAACCATGAAATATTTATTGTCGAAAGAATAAAACAAATTTTTTGGGCATTGGTACCACTCAGAAACATACTATTAATGCATTAACATTTTCATGTGCACATATATCCTTTCTGGATTGAATTTCTATAATTTTGTTTTGCATTCCTAAAGTGCCGTGTGATTGTTTTGGTTTTCAGTCATGGAAACGGACTTTGTTTGCGTTTCCTATCTGTTTTTGTCTTGAACGTGTTTTGGGTAACAAGTCCAGAAATGCACCATCATTCACAAGACAACAGAAGAGTTAATAGATATGGTTGGAAAAGTTTCAATTTATGTCATCAGGTACAGACGGAGTATTTAGACATTTTCTTATTTATTCCTTACTCACTGTTGTCAAATTTTCCTCCATAGCATCTGCTCCACCCCTGTCATCCTTGACATCTAGAAGATGGGACCGTCAACATTACAGCCCGTGCTCTGGGATCACTTTTGTGACTCTGGGACAGAGAGATGCTGCATCTATCAGGTACTAGTTACATCCTCACGGAAAGAGGTGATTTCCATGCATTTAATATAAACTGTCACTTTAAGAAAGGTGCTATTTCAGTCCGTTTGTCCCACCCCTAACTGTCACTTTCACTGGACTCCAGATGCTAGCAGATACCTATAACTTTAGCAACATCAGTGTCACCATCAGCTTTTCTAGAAGCGGACCTGGGGGCGGGGTGGTGGTGAGGCGGGAACCAATAAAGATACTGTGTCGCATTAGTCTGCATTGTTTTGGCAAAGGACCTAAGAAAGTCAACTTACAAGATTGAAAGATTAGTTTAGTCTCATGGTTTCAGAGGTTGTAGCTCTTGGTCCTGTTGCCTTTGGGTCTGTGGACAGGCAATTTATCGTGGAGCATGTAATACAGAAAACTGCTCACATCACTAAATCTGGAAGGCAGAGAGAGAGAGAGAGGGAGAGGGAGAGAGAGAGGGAAGGAGGGAGAGAGGAAGAGGGAGAGAGAGAGAGGAGGAGAATGAGTTGAGGCTGGGACACTGATAATCTCCTCTAAGGACACACTCAGTGAGACTCCTCCTGAAAGTTTCCATCACCTTCAAGTCTTGCTATGGGTAGCAGAGAAGGTCTTTAATGCATGGACCTTTGGATGGCATTTAAAATTCAAGACACGACAACTATTCACTTCCCATGTGGCACACAAAAGACATACAACCTTTATTCCTTTGAGGCTGAATGTTTGCCTCACGATAATTACAATCTAATGTCAAGTGAATCTGGAGGCTGGACCATTAAACAGCCTGTGATAGTTTAGTAAGAAATGATCAAATTGCGTTCTGAGGTCCCTTTATCAGTTTGCACTCTTATTAGAAATGAAGAAGTACTCCTACACACGTATTTCACCGATTGTTTTGGGATGTGGGCCTTGGGGGCAGGTGCACAGTGATGCACCATTGTTCCAGGCCACAACCCTCTAATAACACAAAAGCTGTTCATCTTTCATAGGTTTACTGCTTATTCATTTACCTTTTCTAGTGACATGTCTGTTCAGAACACTTGTCCCCCCTTTTCTGAACTTGATTGCTCTCCTGCCGTTCAGTTTTAAGATTTCCTTGCATACCTTGAATTTCCACATGCACTTTGCAAAGACGTTTCTTTCAGTTTGTGGCGTGTCTTGCACCCTGTTAATATTTTTTCATATTTAACTATGCAACCTTAGCATCACGGTTCAGTTACTTTTAAATGCCCAAGACATCCAAGTTTACAACTGTAAAAAGAAGTTTGAAGGATCATCATATTCCCTGTTCACCACTGACCCCTTCTGTGCATGTCGGCGTTTGTAGAGTGGATCAAGTCATCAAGCTTAGGCCAGGCTCAACCTCAGACCTCGCCTCCTTGATGGGATCATCACGACTACAGTCCAAGAGCCAGCTAGTGGCCTGTCCAAGTTGGCTGGGTCTAGCTGAGCTGACATTTTTGCTGACTAGAGTCATGCTATCTTTGCCAGTGTGCTGGAATAGACACAGACACGGATTGGGTCACCACGAAGACATTCCTGTCTCGTGAAGCAAGACTGTTTGTATTTTAGGTTTGCCAGGACTAATGAATCCAAACATTTGGACTCTCTACAGCTTGCTGTTTATCAATGCCTCTGACAGGAGGAAGGTTTTTTCTTTTGCTCTCGCTTTTTCTAGAAACATGACAACATCCTGGCTGTTGGGGTAGCAAGGAAAGGAGAGAGGGGCTGTACAAGGAAGCGGAACAGGGAGGTCCCGTGGGCTGGGACTCTGGGGTCTGGGGCAGAGCAGGTAGTAGTGCGCAGCCTGGACAGCTGTCTCTGCCCCTCAGAGTGTCTGTCAGGGCTGCTATGCAGGAGGCGCAGACGGGCCTCTCGCTGAGTCTTGACTCCACACACGCAACGACTGGCCAAGGCTGTGGCTGGCCCTGGATTACACAAGCACAGACTCTCAACTAAGTGAGGTAAGGCAGCAGGTGTGAGACTCCATTAACCGCTCCGAGCACCGGCGACTTACCTAAGGCTCTGTTAACAGCACCAGCAGAAGGGACCAGAAGCTGGTTTCCCCAGGAGGTGTGATGAACAGGCAAGTTGTGGACGCTCAGTATCTACAGGACCTCAGCATCACCCTTTCCGAGGGAGACAGATATTTCCTTTAGCTCTGTCCATCCATTTCGTTTCTCCGGCTTGAGACCAGAGCAGAGGTCTGTTAGTGAACCCCAGAGGCGGATTTCCCCCTCACCTCACGGGCTTTGCTTCTTGAGGCAGGAAAAATTGCAAAGGCATGTGCCTGAAGAGGCGTGAGCTTCCCATCCCTAGAAGTCACGCTCAGGGGGGGCTGGCTACTGTAGGATGCCCAGAAGCAAGACTTTCCCTTTCACCTACAACTTTTGGGGGGTCTTTTGTGTGTTTTGTTCGTTGGAGACCATCTGTGCTGTTTCTTCAGAAACAGGTGGCTAAGAGAACACTTGATAGTAAGCTAAGGAAACGACACAAAGATGTGCCAGAGGCTTGTTTTTGTAAAAGCAAGAAGTCCTGCGTCAAGGCACAGCAAATTTAGGAGAGCGTCGTTTTGTAACTTTTAATTGCATGCCATGGTGTAAAGAATGTCCCGTGCTCAGAGCTGTTTGTAGGGTTAACTTAATGGGTTCAACAGGATTCTAAGTGGCTCATAAACAGTTGCTGTGTTGTTAAGCCTTACTGGGTGGTTAACATAAGCCTATTTTCTTTCCATATGGTACCTAAGATGGTTCAAAATGCGTGTACATCTGAATGCACTTGTACAAATGTATGCCTTGAACTTGTCCACGTAAGTAATTGTAAAAACAACACTCAGTGCTCTGGATACTATTTTTAGACACAGAGAAGCTATGGGAAAGAGTGAAAAAAACCTGGCCATGAGAAAATGTTCTGTTACAGCAGTTCCCAGGATCCTGCCAAGGATGGCTAAAGACATTATTTATATTTTGCCATTTTTGGAGACATTTTCCTTAAAATATCATGCAGGGTTTTTTTTTTCCTTTGCTTTTCTGCCTACATGACACAAAGGGGGAGAGAGTTTAGAAAAGGCATGACCAAAAATAGAAATGTTAAATATATGCATTTAAATAACAACCATATCATGTGTTTATTATAACACATTTTCCTAATCCCACTGAACGTCAGATTATTACATATCTTCCTCAAAGCATAATTGGGTTAAATTCTCCTAAGAACAGCTTTTGTTCTTGCCATCTTATGCAAAGGATGTTTTCCACTCATTATCTCTAAGTTTGTTAACTAAATAATAAGTTAATAGGTTGATCCAAACATACATTGGATGTCTTCTGGGTTTTTTGTTTTGTATTAAAGACAGGGCTTCATGGAGCCCAAGCTGGTTTTAAACTCACTAGTAAATATTACCTTGGACCGGCTGATTTGCCCACCTCTACATCCCAAGTGCTGGTGGTTATCGATGTGTGCCACACAGACAAGTTTCGTTTGGGTTGTACCCTGCTGTTAAGAAGTGACGCCTTAGGCATAAAGGCTTGGTAGATTTCGAGGTCATCAGATAGTTAAGAATGTAATGTTCATGCTACAACTGTAACGGGGTTTAAAATGGCTTGGGTTTTACTTTAAATTTACATTATATTGATCCGTTACTACTGCCCAAACAAAACATTGTATTTAATTTGGGCTTTGTGTGTATGTGTTTGTGTGTCTACATGGGCATGCAGGTGTGCACATTCATGTAGAAGACACAGGTCAACCTTTGGGGTCAGTCCTCAAGACCCATCTTCTTTATTCTGTGAGACCTGGTCTCTCCCTGGTACCTGGGGCTTGCTGCCAATTAGGCTAGGCTAGTTGCTCTGGGGGGGGGGGTCCTAGAGATCTGCCTGTCTCTGTCTCTCCATCACTGAGGTCACCAGCGTGAACCACCCTGCCCCCTCCTGTTTACACGAGTATCAAACTCTGGTCCTTCTGCTTGCTCACCAGCTGAGACATCTCCCATACTCCCTAACTTGACTTTTAAGCATGGAAAAGTAGCCAAGTCTAAATCTTTCTGTCAGTCTATTAAGACTGTATCTTTTCTGTATTGTTGCCGTTAAAAAAAAAGCAACATAGGTGATCCTCAAAGCCAGGATTAAACTCATCAATGGGAAAAGATATTGAAAATATGAGAGATTTTAGAAACCATATTTCATCCATTCTGGATGTCTCTTACCAAAGTAATTTTTGTAGAAGCCTTAAAAAAAATTAAAACAATGTGGAGAAAAAAGGCAGCTTACTAACTTTGCTTTCTAATCTCTAAGGGTCCGTGGGGGTGTCTCAGGTCTCGGTACAGTGTTTGGTGAAATGACAATGGCTATCTCTTGTCCTTACAGCTGGAAGCCCCAGGAGAAGGCCGGGCCTCAGGCGCCCACATGATCAGCACAGCCAGGGTACCTGCAGATAAACCAGTGAGCATCGCATTTAGCCTCAGTGATGCCCCAGGTACGATATGCAGCCCCCTCCCCGCCCCTGCCCTTTCCAGAAATCCCACCGTACTTTGTGATTCCGTGGAGAATGTTTAAAATTGCTTGTTTGCACGGCCCGATGAAAAGTGCATGGTAATTCCATCCCACACTCTTAGACTGTGGCTGGCTGTGTTCCTGCCGCTCTGACTGGGTTGTTTTTAACTCCTCCCCCTCTCCCCATTTTAGCATTCTCTTAGGATAAGAACCATAGAGATGGAGCGATTTCTAAGGATAGAAAACGGTGTCATTGTCAAAGTGGCATGCGGAAATGTTTATTAAGAGCGGGCAGATGGTTAGGTAATGTAAAAATATCACCGTCCCTACTCCAGCCGCATGCGTGCGACGTTGCTTTCTCGCTGACGCCCCAACACTTCCGGCTGAATAAACAGACTTCACCAGGGATGATGAATGGGACAGGTGAGGAGGGGCCTCTCAGACGAGTGAGGTCTGAGGTGAGCCTGCCATATTTAGAGCCCTTTGTCATGGCCCCCCTCAGTGACCTCTTAACACACATGCAGAATTGCAGCACCCCCGAACGAGGGGCTCAAGTGGTGGGAGAGGTCACAATGGTCATGAAAGGAAGGTAAGGGTTACGGCCATCGGCATCAACCGTTGTTTAGTTAAACAGTCATCTGTTAAAACCACCTCCTCAAACATCACCATTGAAACCGATGTCTTGGGAGAACCAGGTCTTATTTTCTCTGATACTCTCTTTCTCTCCCCCTGTAGTGTCCACATAGAGTGACGTTTTAAAGATTAATGTTTCACGGCTGGGGTGATAACTCAGCCAGTAAAGTACTTGGCACGAAAACATGTGGACCTGAATTCAGTTCCCTAAAAGACTTGTGAAAAAGCTGGGCATACTCATAAATCCGGCAAGGAGACACAAGTATCCCTGGGCTCCCTGGACCAGCCTAGCCAGTGAGTTCCAGGATAGTAAGAGACCTGTCTCAAAGAACAAGGTGGGCGGCAGGTGAACAATGACATCCAAGGTTGGGTTTTGGCCTACACACATACAGACACACACACACACACACAACACACACACACACAGACACACACACACACACAGACACAGACACACACACACACACACACACACACACACACACACGGGGGGGGGGGGAGGAAGGGAGAGTTAATGTGTGAAAAGGGGCAAAATCATTGCGAAATAATGTAAAGTAAGAAATTTGGCTTTGGAAATTGTGGTGTGACACTGCCATTTGCTGGGTGATTATATAGCTATTAGTCTACTTTCCCAGACAATGGTCACCAGTGGAGGATGTACTAGAGTAGGAAGAGATGACATCTTGCCCATTTTTGTGTGTTTTCTGACAGTCTAACTATGACCTGTTTTCAAGTACTGTGTCTCCCACTCAAGAGTTATTCTGTGAGACACTGGTGAGGAGTGACTTCCACACTAGGAAGATCCACTCCAACATAGAAATAAACACTACCACTCTGATTCTCTTTGTATTAGAAATTCATCTTTATCGTGTGAGCATTATGTATCTACAGGGTAGAATTCTGAGGTCTCAAGATCACACTATTAGTTAAATAATTGAGTTATGATCAAAGCACAGGTCCTTAGACTTAGAAGTCCAAGTCCCTTCATTATGTCTTGTTACTTCTCTAAAAAGTACAAAGAAATTCCTTCTTGGTAACATACTTCATAGTTCCAAATTTCAAGGAATGGCCTCACACAATATGAGTAGTCCTCAAGACACACACATGCAAGTCTATAGTCCAAGAAGAAAGGAGTCTAATTTCCCTTTTACTCATGGCCCACAAGAGTGGGACATGTCCCATTATAATAAACAGGTTTGCAAAGAAATTTTCAGTCCATAAATCTTGCTTTACCCAAGTAAATACATTACATGATTTGGATAAGACAAAGAAATGTACCATACCAGAAAAGAAATGCAGAGAGCTGAGTCTTATCCTTGGGCTGAGTGAATAGACTCTTCTTTGAAATCCAAAATGTAAACTTGAGATTCACTTGGCACTGTCTTTGAATTCTTTCGATCCTAGCTGAGAGTTCTTGAACATTCTTTAAACGTTTTTTAAAATTAATTTATCTTGAACACTTTTAATCAATACATTTAAATTTATGTTCTCAGTCTCCTTTTAGAATTGTAAATGTTTTCAAAATGTCCATTTTGGAAATTCATGTTTCATAATAGATCTCTTTAAGAACAGTTTACACGTTAAGTAATTCTTAACTTCCACTACAAAAAGATGGTAAGGGGCTTATATGGAGGCAGAGGAAGGAGGATCTCTAAGTTCGAGACCAGCGTGATCTACAGAGAGAGTTCCAGGACAGCCAGGGCTACACAGAGAAATTCTGTCTCATAAAACAAAACAAAACAAAAACCTAAACCAACAAAAGAAACTGCCATGCCTATGTTAGCTTTTATGATCAGTGTGTTTCAGTTTGTCTTGGAATGCTGTCTGCCTATAGAATCGAAGGCAGAGGGCAGTTCTCAGTGTTTCTCTACCCTGCCTGATTATATCACTTGAGAGCATCCATTAAGAACACATGTTTAGAAAAACAATAACAAAAGGACATGAAATTGTGAGGGAGATGAGTTGGAGGGCACCAGGGGGCTTGGAGAAAGTAATGGTGGGTAGATGTGCTCAAAATACATTGTCTAAATGTGTGAAATTATCAAAGAATAAATAAGAATATTAAGAAAAAGAACACATGCATACTCCTGTAAGGCTGATCCTGGAGACTCGCTGCATCTCTCTGAGGAAGGAAGTCAAGCCCTCTTATGTGTTTATAATTTCCAGATGTGCAAAATCACTCAGAGCCGAGGACTTGGAAATCTTCTGTGCATATGAAGTTGTCAGTTCACCAAAGGATGAGTTGCAGATATTTGGGACACTCCCTCTGAATTCCCGAATGGGGAGTGTGTGGAGTGTCCCACGGGCGCGTAGTAACATTTGCCATAATGCAAGCTATACATGCCTTTTGAATTCCACCGTGTGTTCCCTGTGGACCACATATTTAGGAAGGAGAACAAAACAAAGCAAAGGGAGGTGGCCTACACGATTACAGCAAGTGGGGGGAGGAACCTGGCCTTTTGAGGAGGGGTCCCTCACTGCTGAATTTACTATTGATGCATATGCAGGGACAAAGGGAAAGGGAGACCTTTCTACTGGTGAATAGTGATATTTGTTTCTTTTTTTGAAGATCGTTTGTTCTCTGACAGTTTTATTCCTGTATAAAATGTATCTTGATCATATTCACTCATTTCTATTATTTTGTTTACCACTGTGTGTGTGTGTGGGGGGGGGGAGGGAGGGACAGAGAGAGAGACACACACAGAGACAGAGAGAGAGAGAGAATGAGAGAGAGCTGAAGCTAGAGGTTGACACTGGATCTCTTAGAGCCAGAATCACAGGCAGTTTCAGGATGCAGTGTAGCAGGAGTGCTTGGATTAGAGTTCTGGCCCTCAGCATTGTATAGTAAGTGCTCTTAGCTGTGATCCATCTCTCCAGCCCCCAAGCATTCATTTCTTATGGGACTAATATAGTTAGGACTCTATTAATTCTAGAGTTTTTGACATATATTCCTGAGACATTTAATATAGAAGTTTAGGGTTTTGAACTTAGAGGCTTATCTTCATCATTATAAGCTAGCTGTCCAATCTTGTTGGAATTCAGTTTCCCTTCAGGTGAAGCATTTAGCAAAGTGCTTGCCACAAATTAAATATTCAAGTTGTCCCCATAGTTAGGGTAACTGATTGTGGAATATCAAGACAAGTATAAACTGCTAGGGAGCGTGTGTGCCATGGATATTCCCCACTGCTCCTTGATGCCAAGATATACTTCACAGTGTGGCTGCCCGCTGTTGTTTGGGGGATTGGTAATCCAGGGGGTGGCTAGTGCTGTATTACCCATCTATGAAGCTGGCCTTTCCTATTTCCTATGCCTTCAATACTCTGCCAAGGCTGTTAGGATGCACACAATGGGGCAAAACACGACCCCTTCCCTAAATCTAAAAGGCTGTGATTTGCTTATTAGCTCATGTCCTGTAGAGAAACTGTCAAAGCCCTTTGAAAGAGCTGCCAATAAAATCGGGCCGAAAGGTGGATTATAGGAAGACACAATCTTTAGGTGTAAAGCATATACGTAAGAATACCTATTTTTAGCCATTTTTCTTCCTAATTCAGAAGTCATGAGCAAAACCCACGAGTCAGGAAGATCATGGTCTATTCAGTAAACACTGAACCACCGTCCGTTAGCACACAAGCTGAGCCGTGGAATCCTATCACACCTGAGCAGAGCACGGTACAGGAGATCCCTAGAGGATACCTGCTTAGGTAGTCACAGACCAGAGATCCCCTCAAACAAGTTTGCATTCAGTCAGAAGCAACAGAGCCTGCAAACTCCCTGAGCAGGGGTGTGTACGATATAACATAAGGGTAGAAATTGGTAGCAGTGTCTAGAATGTGGAGAGAGGGGTGAATCGAAGAAATGTTCTATAAAAAAGGTGTGAGTTCGGGTTTAGGATGAAGTGATGGAGTCTGGAAAAGATTTTAAAAGAAGGATTGGAACAGCTGGATGACAGACAGTTTGGCTTTTGAGAGTGAAAACTGGTGGTAGAAAATGAGCCACGGGCTTGCAGAGTCTCCATGAACCTCCAAGGGCTTAAAGTACAGAAGCAGGCATTGGGGAGAAATACATGGAATCCTATAAGGTACCGTCTCTTTCCAGGCCACTGTCAGAACCCTTCACTAAATGATACTTAGATAATTGTAATCCTTGGAGGCGGCCATCCCTGCCTTCAATAAGCTCAATATTATTTCCAAATCAGGAATTCCAAAATGCTAACTTCCTAACTGAGTCCCTCCCCCCCCCACTGAATTAGTTCTCACAATAGCAAATGTACTACAGTATGAACCCACTGCCCTGAGTTATTGTGAAAATCACAGACTTCTTTTGTTTTCATTTTCTGAGCCAGGGTTTCTC